TAACTAAAATTTGCCAATATCTACTACAAGATGCAGCACCACTAACTATGAATGTTTATACTAGAGGACAAATCACCTCCATGGAGAAAGGCTGGAGTTAGACTGATGTTGTTTAAATTACTATTAGATTTACCAGCCATACTTTCTTCCTGAGGATAACTGATAATACTTTTTTTTTTAATTTTCACTAAAATAATTGTGCAATAATTCACCAAGACTATAATTTAGCTATATCACTTAACCAAATTTACTGTTATGATATGAAAAGGATACCTTCTCGACATATGAATGATAACCAGTACTTGTTTTGCAACTTTTCCTTGGTATCACCTTATTGTGCAAAATTAAAAGAAGATACAGTTTCGGTCTAAATAGCTAAATGGCATTCTGTAACTTACACATTTCCTCATGAGTACAGAACTTTGCAGTGCTGAAAAGGTCAACAGCTGAACTAACATGGAATACTACTGAACAAATAACCTGTGCCTACCAATTACACAAACCCAAATGAATCTCATAAGACATTCTTATTTCATGGCATAAGTAGCTAACTTTTCCATACTCAGGACACTAACGTGAACTCTGCATCTTGAAAAATGTATATATCTACATTATATGGAAAAATACAAATTATATATACTATTATAGTAATTTTTATATATAGTTTATGTATAATATATTTATACGTATTTATATAAATATATTTTAATATCAGTGTAAAAATACTCGTCTTTGTGTTGCTTCCAAAGATCTTCACCTTTGCAAATACAAGAGGAAGCACAGTGAAACAACCTATAATAAATCTGGAAAATCCATATTTTTCTATGGATGTAATTCTAAAATGGAGAAATCGAGATCAGCAATGTCCCATGTGCAGGACTATTTTCTGGCAAGGGAAATACGGAGGTAAAAAAGGCACAAAAACTCAAACCCCAACCTAAATAAGTAATTACAAAAAATAACAAAACAAAGCAAGCTGTATGGCAATCAACAATAAGAGAGGAAAAATAAGCATTAAGAATAGGACTCTGAATGGAAAATTAATTTTGTGGATGTCAGTCTTTACTACCGGAAAGGAATAACAGCCTTCGAACGGTTCTCAATAGAATAAAGAAATGAGAATAAAGTACTTGTGCCAAAAGAAAGACTGTGTTATCATCTGACTCAGAATGGTACTTATGTACAAATTCTAGCAGACTTTTTTGTCATCTATTCAGCATATCACTCTTAAATTAAAACAAACACCTTTATGACTAGAACTTGTGTACTGCACAAGAATCAGATTTACACCTTTTCAACACAAAAGCATGCTGCAACATGATCCAGGCCAGCAAGCCATAATTTCAGTATCAGGTAAAGTAGAACACAGTTACAGATTCAGGATAACAAGGACACATCAGTGCAACTCCCAAACCCAAACAGCTATTATCCACAGCTTTTTTTCCTTGATACGATTTTCAACATTTAACAAAGTTCTTTGCAACTGACTACTGAGGAAACTAAGATGCAACAAGGTAAGAAACACATTTTAGATATGGATCACAAGCTGCTAGAACAGATACAAACCATAAAATATCCAGAAGAGCTATGTTAGAATTGGGCATTACAAAGCCCAGAGTAGGTAAGTGCAAGGTACAGAAGGATCTATCCATCTGGAACTGTGCAGATACACCATGTAAATAATGCTGAACAACAATCCCAGGGCAAGATGTCCAAAATCACACAATATTCATTTTCAAAAGTAACTCAAGCTCTCAAGACACTGTGTGTCACTAAAACATTTGTATGAGTTAGGAGCCCATGTCTCTTGCAAATATGAGAATACACGACTTTTAGACCCAGAAGCAGTAAAATTCTAAACAGTCACCAAATGAGCAGCAAGATTCAGACTAGGAAACAAGACATGCAGTACAAAGAAAGAACGTGCTGCTGAAGCATTCAGCAGCAGAATCGTAGAAACTGAAAAAATAACAATGCAGAGAACAAGAGAAGTGAGCAGAGTCACCCAACTGTGCCAGCAAAGATCTTCACGAACACCTGTGACACCTGGATGTTAAGACAGTTTGCAGTAGGTTTTATGTAAAGTTAAACCCTAAAACACGCTAAGAGAATGCTAAAGCTCCAAAATCAAGGACTCTGATATAAACATCTGAATGATATAAACAGAATTGAGTACTTCATTTGGCTCTGCTGGACCTTGTGATCCTGACGAGTCTTTTTAACAAAGTAAGCACTGCAGTGCAAGAAGCTGCATTCAGGGTGATCTTACCAACTCACCAGCAGAGTTTAGACCTCCACGTCTACAGATGACCTACCACCATTTTGGAATGCAGCAACAGTTAATGCTAGGACATTACCTCCTTTGTGTAGAAAGACAGCAGATAAAAGACAGAAGAGGACCAAGAAATGCACTACAACTTTCAAATTTTGGACTTCCTGCTCCCAGCAAAACATATTCTAACAGAGAGTTATGACTCATGAATTGAATTAAAACGGGTGTATGCTATGGCAGTTGCCATTATCTCTACCCCTGTGTATCAGTGTCTATTTACAACCACATGCCTCTGTTCCCTTATGCTCCACTCTTCTTCAAGCTCCTACCTCTGCATTTATTTCCCCCACACACACATCAGACCCAGCAGTCTCAACCCTTCACAGCTCTATTCTCTGTCACCATCTGGGTCTCCCTCTCCCCTTGTGTTGCCATTCTCAGTCCTAAGACCCTTCACCACTAGTTTCCTGGTTCAGGACTCGTGCTGTTCCCTGATATTTCTACCTTTTCATTATCCTTTCTCCTCACTTTTCACTGTCCTAAAAGCCAAAATAACAGTCAAATTCTTTCTCTTCCATTTGTTCTGACACAGAAACAGGTATAAGAACAGCACATTTTTCTGTTTATGCTGGGTGCCTGCACATGGCTCTTTTTGCCCACTCTTCCCTATCTACCCTTTGAGGATGATGTCATCTGTTCACACCATCTTAACTAGCATCTGCACAGCAATGGCTTATAAGCATGTCTACCCATCCACCTACTCCTGATTGCCTCCATATGGTACTGCTTCTTTTCCTGATTTTCTCTCCAGAAAACTCAAGCTTAATATATGTTCACAACTCAGCTCCTTATCATTCCTCTCAAACACCTTCTACAGATAAAACTTCTGCCAATATCACCTCCTGTGATACAGGTAGTCTTTTGTGACCCCTCTGCCTGTGTTTGAACCATATATCCATGCTGTATCCAAAATGCTGTTACAATCTTCCTCCGTGTGTACATCTTTTTCTTCCTAACAGTACAGTTCATCCAACACCTCCATCTTTGTTCAGGCAGACACTGAAGAATTAGAAAGGGAGACGGAGATTCATCTGTTTAAATTTAGCCAGGCTTCCTTACTTATCCTAAGCCATATTGAAAGTGAAGCAAGTAAATCTCTTTAATATATAAGTATTTATGCTTTCATTTCAGGAATCCTCTTTATCCCATCACCCTTTAGAGCCATGCTGGTATCACTGGTTTCAAGCTCTTGGGAGGTAGACGATACAGGGACAGCTCAAAGGGCTGAATGAGTTGCTACTCAGCATAGCCAGCTGGTACCTACTCATCTTTGTTCAAAGTTTCTGCAACCTTTACATATTTTCTGAATGTAAAGGAGTACAGAACACGAAGCATGTTAGATGGATATGCAGCCATCTTAAAAAATAAATGAAGTATGCCGTTACCTAAAGATAAATAATATATTGGACGGATGTCTGAAAAAAAAAGTAAAGAGAAGAAACAAACACATCTGACTTACACAATTGCATTTTATAATAGCATTAACAACTAAAAACAGAGGACCCCATCAAAATTTGACCCAAACTGCCATCTTAATAAATGTTTATTCAAGAACCCTGCTTTAATATTTAATACTTTATCAATTTTTAAAAAAAAATTAAAAATCTTTTAAATCAAGAAAAAAAAGAAAAAAAAAGTGCCCCACACTCACCACACTCATTTGAAATTAAAAACTACCCACAGAACATTTTATACTCAGATATTCTTAGACTACTTGTTTCAGCAAACAGATTTTTAAAAATATTATTTGGGGGTTTATACTGAATTTATTCCCAAGATTTATTTAGCCAAGTACTAGTCAGAACAGATACTGTGCTACATTTCTCATTATGTGATTGTGAGCACTTTTTATACTGATAGAACAGATTCAGAACTAAGTTATGAAACAAAAAGTGAAAATGAAGACACCCCCTGCAAAGTGAAGGTCAGGAACATCATGTAAGATATCCTTACAAAAACCTGTTAAGTCTTTAGTAAAATTCATGTGGAACATACAAGATTTTTTTTTAGAAGTTAAATTTCAACAAAATTAACAACCTTCACTACTACACATAGACTGATGGATCCTAAAAGTCATTATTTTCTGATTCACAAATTAACTGAATTATCAAGTCATTTTAAGGGTCTGAATAATCACTGTGAATCCTAACAATAATTTTTCTAATATACATGCGGGTACAGAGTTCTGCTGAAAATAATTTATTGAACAGAAGACCCAGACTACCACTTGCATACAAACATGTAAGGTGAAAGTCAGCATGGCTTAAAGCAGCAGTATTATTTCAGAGATGTCCTTAGGACAAAAACTAAAAAAACCCCAAGCCACCAAAACCCCTCAGAAATGGAAAGTAGGCAAATTCAAATATAGATTGTTGGAAGCTTTTTAAGTAATAAACGTTTAATCCTTTTTTTTTTCAATGTCATGTGGTTTCCACTGTACACAAAGAGTGAAAAGGTAAAAATAAAACAGGCATACCCTTAATATATTCCAGAATTCATAAATCATTTGTAAATTTAGTCCTTTTATAAAAGAATCCTTATATAAATCGGGGGGAGGGAGGGCATCAATCCCATATATGAAGCACAATTTAAGCCCAACATCACTGACCAATCAAAATTAGTGAATGCACTGCATCTCTCTGCAGTGAGGAGAAGCGACAAGGTAGGCTGTCATTCTGCAAAAGCTGCCCATCGCAAGCTTTCCTCTCAGAAGCACTGCTCTTCTTTTTTAGAAAGCTTGAATCTCAGTGGTGTCTCTGGAGACAAGAAGCCTTCAGTATGTTAAATTACTTTCATTATGTATTTTCAGATGCTTATTGATTCTACCGTAGGAAGAGTGGGAGACTGCAGCAGCCTGTAAAGCAGAACTAAAGCAGTTGTATACATTAGCAGTATGCTGGAACAATGGCACAGTACAGGCACAAATTTTCATTAAGGTCATTTTTTGAAGATATGCTTATTACCCTCTTTCCCTTCTACTCTGCTAACAAGTGAACAAAATGAATCCCTCCAACCTGGAACTGCTTCACCTGCATCGAGAATTTACCAAATCTTTAGTGGAGGTAAGATCTGTTCCTTATTATGGTATGCAGAATAAGCAACATTTAACAAAATTAAAAAATACGAGAAAAAAAGCAAGAGATCAGATTCTACTTATATTAAACACTGATATATTGTTATATTTGAGGTCAGGAAATATTCAAATGCTATTTCCCCCTCCCCATTAAAAATACAATGGTAGAATAATGTTATTCTGTATGAAAGTCTTATAGAATATTAAGAAGCTATTTTGTTCATACAACATAAAGACAGTACAGTTTAAGCTCATACAGCATTGGGAAAACAACCACATAATGCAATTGGGAATATGTTTTTCCTCCCTCAGCAGTGTTTCCAAATATTGGCAATTAAATATGTTTCAGATTTATTCCGTTACTCTTCGAAGGATCAGATAGTCTGTAATTAGTGTATACTTATTGTTTTATGAAGGTTGGCTAATATGACTAATCTCTGATTGCTTAAGAAATCTCCCTTATTTGTGGTTTTTTTTTAAACTCATTTTTTTTCATTACCCTGTATATTCAAGCCATTTACTAAAAGCATGGATTTGCTAAACATTTATTTCAAGAAAGGAAATTGTAGCAGAGTGCAAATTAACCAAAAGCATATTTCCTATACGGCTCATTAACTGTGTTCAGTTTCTCATTAGAAGACAAGAGAGTTGTATGTATAAACTACCTGCTCACCAGAGCTATAAAACTACATTTTCCAGCTTTAGTCACAGACACTCTACATCCAACAGTTACTGCTTCTAGTCAGGGGTTTTTGTAACCTGCACTATCCGGAGAACAGGAAACTTGTCCAAAACAACTGAATTCATGTAAGCTGAAGGAAGAATATGATTTTGCTAGCAAATAGAGAACACACTGATTTTCTATGTAACCTGTAAGGTTCAACTTTAGAGATCTTTTATTAATTAAATAAGTGATATTAGAAAATATATTCTTGCATTACTTTATTTTGAAATTATAAGCCCTACTTTTAACCTTTTTTTTCCTCCCCTTCACAAGGGCATGCAGCAACTAATTCAGTTTTACAACTGACAATATGAAGAATGCAGTTGACCGGGTATCTTTGTAGCTGTATGACCTACAAGCAGCAGGATGCATCACTAAAATGTATTCTTAAGACATAAAGGAATTAGAAACAAAACATGGAACACACTTGTATTACCATTTACGTGCATGACACTTCAACAATATACACGGAAGACTAACACATCTGCTCAGATTTTCATTAAAAGAAGAGTGCAATGATTGATTCTTAAAATGGTGAGCATTTCTTAAAGAGGGATTTATAATTTAAAACCAGAATTGTGGAAACTACTGATGCATGAAGAGACAATGAAACATGAAATCTCAAAAGGAAAATATGCATACTTCACCAGCAAGCTGAATAAAGGTTTAACCAAGCTTTTTCTATACTACTCATTAAATAACTTTGGTCATAATGACTAATGGAGATTTTTCTCTCAGTTTTATGATGTTGTGTATTCTCCTTAAATCAAAATAAACCAAATTAGGTAACTCATGGTTACTCTCAAAGCACATGAACTGGATTTTATGATGTATAGCAACTTCTTTGACTAAGCCATCACTCAAAAGTAATGAGCAGGAATATTACAGAAAGAAATACGCAACCATAAACTAAAGGATGTCTACATACACTCTGAAAACAGAGATCAGAAATTATTTCTCTTTAACCTGGAAAATAAAAGCATGCTGCTACAAAATGCAACAGGGGAAAGAAATCAACATCGCTTAAAAGAAGGTTTATTTGTTATTGCTGGCTTGAAGCTCAGAACAGACACGCACAATATGCCCTGGTCTGTAGAAGTATCTGAGACAATTAAGAAGTCCCCATGTTTAATCAGATTTTTTTGCTGCTGAACTGCAGGAACAAAAAAAAAAAAGGAAACAAAAACCTGCAAGGAATGAAATAAGAGCCCAGCTACCACTTGATTTCCAGGTTACAGTGCATGTCAAAAATCTCTCAGTGACACCATGTATCAATTTATGACAAGCTGCTGCCACGATCTGAAAGGCCCTTGAGGCTCAGAGAACAGGTAGGTCGGCAGTCCATGCCCCCACCTCTGCTCAGCACCTGCAGCGAGCAGGGACTTACCCAGACAGGCGATGGGTGCGCTGGGTAAATGAGCTCCCTGCCTTCACATTTCTGCTTTAATTTAACTGAAATAGAATCAATGCAACAAGGAGGTGATGTTTAATCTATTCATTAAGACTCGGCACATCTGAACTTCTCTGTTTTCACAAAATTTCAGTTGGCATAATGTTAGGGTGAGCCTGTCATTTGTTTCAGCAGATCTGCTTTTGATTTCCTCCTGGCTTTTGCTAATACAAAAGAACTTCATTTCTCCAGCAATGCATTTGGAATGGTTTCTTGAAATCCATTCACAGCCAGGACAGCATACACAGAGGAAATCATACTCCTGAGGGTTAATATAAACCGAACAGAGGTTGCCTAAATTAGAAATGAAACAAAGCTTTTGAAATACTTTTTGTTTCATTTCACACCTGAGATTAATACGTTCTAATTTACATCTCTTTCCTATTTAAAAGGCACATGTGAGATAGCTGTTAAAGAATAACAAGAATTTTCATCATACAATTTGCAATTAATAGTATTGTTCAATTGAGGCTTTTCAGAACTGCAGATGAAATCCATTTGCATACTGTATCCCAAGTGTGCTTAATTCATACTTTCATTTTAAAAGAGCTCATTTTTGTTCACCTTAGTGCTATCCATTTTAATGTATTTAGAAAAGAACAAAGGTCAGCATTCAAATTTATTTTCATGCCAAGTACGTCCCCTCAAGTTTAAAGCTACCTAAAAAAAAAATAAATAAACCCACAAGTATCATAGCAAGAAATTGAATAACCTCTCTTTTATTTATTCACTCAATTATAAACTCAAGAGCTGCCTGAAAATATAAACAATACAAACATCAGGTATTACATGCAGATGCTACATTTACAACTCACCAGCATGTGTAAAACAAAGCAGGTGACCCACAAAATAAAAAAATCTCCTAGATGTAACAAATGGTACTTTTTTGAACCTCACTTATTACTAAGAAAAACATGCTATGTATGTAAATCCATTGGATTTAACTGCAGTTTGTAAAAAAAAAACACACAAAAAACCAAAACAAAACAAAACAAAAAAAAAAACACACACCAACAACAACAAAAACCAAGCCAAAACAAACAAAAACCAGAACAAAAATCAAAACCAAAACCCAATTTCTAAGTGTTATTTTTTAAAATTATTCTCTTAAATCTATTCTGGAATAAAATTAAATACTCGGACACTCCATGTAGGAGATGATTTCTTGAAGAAATTGAATATTTAAATCACAAAAAGGAAATGTAGTATTTTATAATAAACTCCATTTCCCCAAACCCACATAAATTTTGCATTTGAAATTTTATATACTTAGATAAAATTGTTGTGGTGGCAAGCATCATACATGTAGATAAAAAAAGATAAAAGTGAACAGAAAATTTCAAGCTCTTTAAAAATCTGTTGAATTACAGAACTTCCATTTCAGCCCACAACACTACTGTAAACTTCATAAGAAAGAGGCAGCTAAATTGGCATAAATATTTTAAATGCTCTTTTTATGATACATAAACAACAGTGCTCCATGTTCCTATCACTTTCTTTTTCCACAAGAGCTTTTTAAAATGATCTTGAGCACTAATTTGTTAATACTTAACAACCTGCTTCTAAAATGACCCTCCAAGCAATACAAAGGCTATGCACAAGTACAGTTTATTCAACAAATGGGCCTTTTGTGAAAAACCGCATCACTATAAACAAAGCCTTGCCTCCTTAAGTGGAAGCTTTTCAGTTTTTTTTTTTCTTTTTTAAACAAATCCTGCTTTCTTTTTAAAAGGAAAGACCTTATTCTAGATCCTCAGGCTTTTGAGTCCATGCCAACTAAAGCTCTAAACATACTGTAAATGAAGAGTTTGGTAAGAATAGTTGCTTTTCCTCCCTCCTCCTTCCCCAAGATTTATTTAAAATAAGTGTTAAAAAAAGAAATCAAATAGTTCCATATTTTATTTCACGTTTCAGGAGAAAAACCAACTGCAACAAAAGAATGTGTTTCTCCCCCATTCTGGAAGTCACCATGCAGTCTGAATCTAACATTACAGTCCGAGATGCCATTGACGACATCGATACCAACATGTACCGACCACTGTCATATCCATTAAGCTTTCAAGTTTCTCTCACCGGATTTCTGATGCTAGAAATTGTTTTGGGACTTGGCAGCAACCTCACCGTGCTGGTACTTTACTGTATGAAATCCAACTTAATCAATTCTGTCAGTAACATAATTACAATGAACCTTCATGTACTTGATGTAATAATTTGTGTGGGATGTATTCCTCTAACTATAGTTATCCTTCTGCTTTCACTGGAGAGTAACACTGCTCTCATCTGCTGCTTCCACGAGGCTTGTGTCTCTTTTGCAAGTGTTTCAACTGCAATCAACGTCTTTGCTATCACCCTGGACCGATACGACATCTCTGTAAAACCTGCCAACCGAATTCTGACCATGGGAAGGGCTGTGATATTAATGACATCAATATGGATAATTTCACTTTTTTCCTTCCTGATTCCTTTCATTGAAGTCAACTTTTTCAGTCTTCGAAGTGTGAGTACTTGGGAAAATAAGACACTTCTGTGTGTGAGTACAAACGAGTACCACACCGAACTAGGAATGTACTACCACATTCTCGTTCAGATTCCAATATTTTTCTTCACTGTTGTAGTAATGCTAATTACGTACACCAAAATACTCCAGGCCCTAAATATTCGGATTGGTACAAGATTTACAACAGGACAAAAGAAGAAAGCCAGAAAGAAAAAAACTATTTCTCTGACCACCCAGCATGAGACTACGGATGTGTCCCAGAGCGGTGCAGGGAAAAACGTTGTCTTTGGTGTAAGGACTTCCGTGTCTGTCATAATCGCCCTGCGCCGAGCTGTAAAACGGCACCGGGAGCGACGGGAACGGCAAAAGAGAGTCTTCAGAATGTCCCTCTTGATCATCTCAACATTCCTTCTCTGCTGGACACCCATCTCTGTTTTAAACACCACCATCTTATGTTTGGGCCCAAGTGACCTTTTGGTAAAGTTGAGATTATGTTTTCTAGTAATGGCATACGGAACAACTATATTTCACCCTCTACTTTACGCATTCACGAGGCAAAAGTTTCAGAAAGTTCTGAAAAGTAAGATGAAAAAGCGAGTGGTTTCGATAGTGGAAGCAGATCCCATGCCAAATAACGCTGTAATACACAACTCATGGATAGAGCCTAAAAGGAACAAAAAGATTACCTTTGAAGACAACGAAGTAAGGCAGAAATGTTTAGTACCTCAGGTTGTCACTGACTAGATTTCAGTATTCACCAAAACACATCAAACGGAATATTTGAACAAACTGTAGAAAAATACTGCCAAATAAGAAAAAAAACTTTTTTAACTATTGGCGAGACTGTATATTTTCAATATGTATGTTAAATAGATTAGATCTTGTATATTCAATTTCTTCATTATGTAAGATATATGTTGCATGGCTGTTTGTTAGCGTAACACCATGTGTATATTTGTCAAAAATATTCAAGTCCTCTTTTTTTAGAAAATAAATAGCCTTAAAGAAGTGCAAACTTTTAAAAATATTTGTATGGCTCAGTTTCTCCGTAAGTATAAAAGAATTTTTAGAGAAAAATTGCACTTGGGAATACTTTTCTGGAGCACAAATTCAACATTTTGCATGATATGGTATTTTTAAATTTAACTCGTAAATAGTATTGATCAGAGGTATTTTGAATGCTATGCAGCTACAGCCTGGACACATTTTGACCTCATATTTAGATAGCTACTTATTTCAAATTTCTCCAGCATGTGACTAGCATGCACATACAGGCAAAGCCATTTACATGATGTCCTTCAGTTAATGGTTCAGAATCAGTTACTTTTCATATGAGGGGAAAAATTCATGCTCATCCAAAAATTGTATTTTTAAGAAAAGTAGAAAGCCTTGTGTATACAATCTCAGATCCAGAGTTTCTATATTTGAACAATTACACAGGAGGGGTTAAGGGCAAAGGAAAGGCTAAATGAGGGAAAAAACCACAGATAAGAAAGTTATTGGGCTTGATGCTAAAAGACAACCAACAAACCAACATTCCTATGCAAAGGTGAAGGGGTTTAGCTAGACCTCTAGTGTGACATGGGGACCTTTTATACTGAGATTTTTCATCCATTTTCATCCATCTATCCATAGAAGGATATGGCTGTTAAGTGCCACAGCTAAAGTCCATGATAATTTTTGTTGCCCTCGACAACTTTTTAACTATTTTTACTTCACTTTTCCTTCAACAACATTCAGTTCTAGCTATGCAGCTCCTTTGTTACAAACAATCACCAATACTGCTAGTTACCCTACTCCTGTTTTTCCTGGGTGGCCATAGTATACCTTTCTCCTGTATTTTCTTTTTCTATTTCTTCTTAAACCTGCATTGAAGAATCAAGAAACCTTAAGAACTTACCATCATTCTAGAACTGTAAGCAAGAATTAAGATACCCACCCAAACAAGTTTGACAAGCTGTTTGCACCATGCCATCCTTAAAAATTTCGTAATTTCCATGAACAGTGGCTAGATTGATTGAACGAGTTACCAGGGGAGGGGAGGAAAGGGAAACAAAACAAAAAACTGCAAAATCAATGAGCATGATTTCACTTGTCATTACATGAACTGACCAGTGTGTCACCAGTTACCAGTATACTTTAAAGGTTAATTCTCAATAAGTATTAAATTATATAAAAAAAGAAAAGCAGAGCATACCCTTGAATATGAGAGCTAGTTTGACACAAAAAAATGAGGATTTCTGAAGCATTTTTCTGAAGTTGCATATAAGAAAAAGGTGTTGTTTTAAGGGAACAAAAGGTTCCTTTCTGTTTTTTTCCTAAATTATTAATCATATGTGTGTTGCCAAAACTGGTTTTGTGGCTAAAAAAATCCCAGTGCTTGTAACGTTACTTAGTTTACTTCATCTCAGGATTTAGCTAACAGAATAGAAGACTCAAAAAATAATACTGCAGCTATATATTCTACAAAAAATAGCCACTTATGATCATCCAAATTCTACCTGGAAATTTTGTTATCTAATTGATAGCAACTGATTAGCTGAAATTACTGTGTAACATATATTCAAATATAATTACACTGGCTTTTCTGTGAAAACTAGCCCAATGACACCTGCATTCAACTGTACCCATTTACTGTGTTGTTTTCATCTAAGCTATCCCTAGTTTCCTACAAGAATTGAAATCCTTATTTAAGAGGTTGCAGAAGTTTTATGCAATAAGCTTTTTTTTCCCCATATGCTCCACATTTTTTACTTCAAAAACATTCTTTTGGGAATAAGTTCTTCTGAAAAGAAATGTACCCAAAATATCTAAGTAGAAACTATTATTTTTTTCTTTTTTGTAGCTCTTCTTCCTTTCCCTTTCAAGCTATCCTCTCTATTTTGAACACTAGAAGGAGGAGAAAGAGGGATGTTGAGGGTTAATGGCATAATATGATTTCACTGACTACTTATCAATTTATTTCCAATAAAGCATTCTTATATCAAAAATATTATTCATTTATTTAAAAAGAAAGAAAAGAGAAATCATAATGAACACATAACATAAATAACTTTACATCCTTATCTGAAATAAGCATTGAAGAAAAGCTTTCAGACTTGAAAGGTTTCTTGACAATATGACTTTACTTTTTAAAATTAAATAAATCCTCAAGAACTCCACGCTTAGTGCTAAAGCTCATTCATTAGACAGTCAGATGCAACGAAGAAGCACTTCATAGCGAAGAGAAAGAGCAGCCTAGGAATTAGTCAAAGAGATTAAGCCCAGTTTCAAAGGCTATGTCGATCACTGATCGCCTGTAAGAATATAAGCAAGTTCATTTTTACATTTATTATCTTTCATCTTCATTAAATTTTAGAAAAATGGATTTATACCATGTTGGAGTACACTTTGAGGGCTGCAGAAGAAGATTCTGCATACAGCAGGGAGCAGTACAAGAAAGGATATGTGCTATCCTATACACACACAGAAGCCATTACAAAACAGAATCATACATGATCTATACCATACGGCAGATTTAACCCAAAGAACACAAAATTAAGAGTAAATAGTGAAGACACACTGCATATTCTATAGACACAGAAGAGGATTTCAAGAGGGAGATGAAGGTGTGCCGTGGGTGCTTGACAGATAGACTAAAACAGAATGCAAAAAGAGGCAGCATCACTGGAGAGAAAAGGGCAAATACATGCCACACTATTGTACAATCAGAAGCCCACTACATTCTTAAAAATGATCTCACCACAGTGAGTCATTAGTTCAATTACATTTCACACCACTCAACCTAAGGCAAGCAGAACTGAACAGGACTCCAAAAATACTAATTCCAGCAAATACATCTCAGAAACACAAGCAAGCACTGCCAATTTCCACATGTTCTCTGTCCCCAAAGTATTAGCTGATATCTTACTATGTTGTCTTTTAACTGCAAATGCATTTCCATTCAATTTTACACTGTAAAATGAGGTTATCCCACACTGAAAATACAAAAAGAGCAGAGAACAGTGCCAGTATCTATTAGAATATTCAAGAAGCACACCTCCACACACTAGTACATCACAAACCAGTAGTACAGAAATGTAAATACATCCCAAATATCTAGTTTCCAGCAGCCAACAATTTTTCTGGACTACAAGGCACTGCTACGTACTCAGAAGTTCTGTTTACTTATTAGTGCCAGCAGAATAGGAGTCACTTCAGTGCTTTCTAAATATATTAGGTTTAAAATGTATGCATCTGGATACACATCAGATCAATGCACCCCCCTTCATTGTTACGTAAATACACGCATGTATGTAATATATAATTACTGTATATCCACAGACACCAGAAGTGGGGCTCAACTTTAGCACCTATTTTATATTCGTATAGAGGAATTTTTGGTAAGTGTGTCATTGAACTGGACAGACAGGCACTATGTCCCACCACGCACAGACTTAAACATCTTATCTTTCCCACAATCCCCTTTGGGTTTGGGGAGTTTTTTTTCTTTTTAAATGAAATAATATACTCAACAAGATAAAGGATTTATCTGGACACAAGGAAAAAATTTTCTACTATGTTAACCATTACATATACTATATTGCAGTTCACATAATACTTCTTTTCCAACATCAATGTATGTGCTAGTCATCAAAATTCTTTGATAACTGAATATTTTCGGCATGTGTTTGTTTCCTCTGAAGAAACTTTCAGTTGCCAATTGTCATTAAACTCTTTTGAAAGGAGAGAATAGAGCATTCTTTAGTAAAGTTTCAATGCAGTATTAAAAATATCTAGAATACATTAAATTACTCTTCCATCACCCATTGCTCAAACAAAATACCTCTAACATCTAGCTAAGGACAGTCAGCTTCTTAAAACCTTCCAGCTTTGTAACAGCTGAATTTCACTCCCACATCACACATTCTGCCATAATATCACTGAATTTCGTTCTTACACCAAGAGGGAAGAAGAATCTGACTCCATTATTACTTTCTCCTTTTTCGACTTCATAGAACACTCATGCAATTCAAGAAGCAAAATTAAACACAAGGTTTGGGTTTTCTTTTGCTGGGAGAAGGTTGAAAAAAAAAAAAACAACTAAAAACATCATAACTGACTAGCAGGAAAATCAAAATCACTCACAGCCAATAAGTGTTAAATAAGAAGAATGTGAAATAGGTGAAGAGGAAAAGGACAGAAGGTAGAAGGAACCACTGTAAGGCAGCTATGGTCATCAGGACCAGAGAAAAGTGGAGAGCAACATGCACTTGCTGTGCAAAGAATGCTAACCCTATTTTTTAGATAATAACAGACAAAAATACAAGAAGAAACTTCTCTTTGAATCATCGAGTGTGTTACGTGGTTATACCAAAGTTGTTGGAAGGAGAGGTAAGAATGAGACAAACAGCAACTCTAGAAAAGGCTTTTGATTTTAAAAGTTATACACAGATAACAGACAACACATGGGCATGCATTAATCTACTACCTCTTTTCCTACAGATCAAATATATATTTTACTGAGTACAAAGGATATACAGAGTGCATGCATTACAGGAAGAGACCTGAAAGGTTATTCAGTGTCTGTTACAAGAAATAAATTTTTAAAAAATGCTATTGAATTTTCCCTTTAGTCAGATAATTTCAGTTTGTCTGGATGCTTTGAGTGTGTTTCACTACCACAGTATTATGTTTTCAATTACTGCTTCTTTATCACAATTTAATTATTTTTGTAGAGTAATATATTGAAGGAGAAATATCATTAAACATCTTTATGTTCTTTGCTAAAATTACACTTCAGTGATTATTATAAATTGAGCCAGAATGGAAGAAATATCTTCCTGTATATTTATATTACAGATTTCTGTACCAGCTTTTTTGTATTTCACAAAGAAACTCTCACACAATGAAAAGGAATTCATTGAAAATGAAAAAAAACCAGAAGATTCACAGTGAAAATTCTGTGATAGGTACAAAACCTGAAATTATTAAAACTTTTTTTTTTATAGTTTGAATTAATTATATCCTTTGAATATAAGCATTTGT